GAAAGCCCAACACGAACTTTGGATATATCGGGAATTGGTCAGAATCGAAGTGTATAACAAAATATAAAAGATGAATGATCGAATGCTCAAAAGCCCACTTGTATTAATTAACATGTCTGATTACAAGGAAATGTCCCGATCGGTGCGTCAGAACTATGCTTTAATACAAGAAACAAGAGTAATGATGCTATTCTAGACTTGAGTCTCAAAATGCTAACCCTTATATTTACAATAAACCTTCTATTTATACTAATGGGGGGTATGGGGTGCTTCATGCTGATTGGCCGATGTCCACCGACTTGACCACCCATGCCTCCACTTGCTGATGTCACAATCTGGCATTAACTGCAGCTGGCCACCTGTTGGTTGTCCGTTGCCTGAACGGGATAATGGACCCTGTGTAGAACATTGTTGATTTGGCCCAAGTATGATATATGATCCGAACCCCGTTCGGTACGTCTACCCCGGATCAACCTTTGTTTGGACCGAACCTCGTTCGGTAGGGATATCTCACTGGGTCTATTTATTATAGTGTAGTGGCCTCGCTGCTTTGGGCTGGATATCCTGGATCTTTAATCCGGGTATTGGGACTGTGGGCCAATATCCCAACACGAGTCCCCCACTTCTGATGTCTCGAATGATAGTGAGTGCATTAGGAAGTATAAATGTCATACTATGAATACGAAATGGCGATCGGGATGCAGAAATGGCCAGTTCCCCATGCTGTGATTTAACGGCTGTCGTTTGCTTTTCCCCATAATTGTCATGGTTACAGTCACTTGCTATTTCATTAGACACGCTTTTAGTTTAAACGGTTCTAATGACGTGTCGCTTCCTGATTGGTCTTCGATACGGCGGTTTTAAGACTATAAATTAGCCTTTAGCTCCTCAAATCTGGGTTCCGCATTTTCAATCTCTCCGTGCTTGAGCTCTGCCTTCTCTCCAAAATTCTTTCAAGCTCTCTTGATCAGGTATTTTCTTCCCCTCTACTTCCTTTCCTCATTTCTGATCGGATCGAGATGAGTTCTCAACCACACTCCCCTGATTCGGATATGGCCTCCCAAGGGGGTGACCGTGAGGTTGTCGTTGTGGACGTCATTACGGTTCCATTCGCCGGCGGTTCTACTGAAACGGCGACGAATACAAGGGCGGAGGCGGAGGGCCCTTCTAGCAGTTCATCTTCCTCCGGCGAAGATTCTAATGGCACAAAATCCGGGGATGAAATGGATTTAATGGCTGCTGGACGCCCAGACGAAATCCCCCGTCATTCACTCGACCTAGGTTTAATTAGGGCACGACGGCAAAAATTGACAGCCAATAACAGGCCCGAAATTCCAGCCCTAATCCCAGACCCAGTGGACTTCCGATTGCGAGCTGGGTTTCACCCACTGCGCCATGCCCCTGGGATGGTTGTAGTCCACTTTGATTCAGTTAGGGTTGGGCTTAGATTCCTATTACACCCCTTCTTTGTATTATTTTTTAACTTTTACGAAATCGTACCCGCTCAAGTCATGCTGAACTCCTATCGAGCCATGGCGGGTTTCATCTGTCGTTGCAAAGATGCCGGTGCTTCACCGACCCTAGACCTGTTCCACCAATTCTTTAAGGTAGCCCCTCAACAGACCCACGGATATCTGGCCGCCAGTGCCCGAACGGGACATATTTTGTTTAAGGGCAACCCGACTTCGATCAAGGGATGGAAGGACCGATTCTTTTTTGTGTCTATCCCGGACGGTCTATTCCCTCGAAAATGGAACGCCTTCCCTCGCAAGACTCCCGATCCGGTTCTTACTGAGGAAATTTACAAGGATGTACTTGTTGTGGAGAAAGACAAATGTTGTGACATCATGGCCTGTCTGACCCCCGATCGGCTTGTTAAAGCCGGGATAGGTACTGCCCGTTCTCTTGGGTTTACTTGTTTTGAGAATCAAGTGCCATGGTCCGGGCGGTCCTTCCCGTGCGAGAAACGTTCTATTCTTTTTTTCTTGTTTCTCACATGATAAGGTCGCTCGGTACTAATATTTTCCTTTGTTATTTTTCAGCTCCCAATCTAGACGCTCTCATTAATATCGATCGTGTTCTTGTGGCTGGTGGGGTCGGGAAAAGGAAGAAGAAAATGAAGAACAACCTCGTGGTTGATCCACCTGCTGCCACCGCTTCACAACCTGAATCCGCCCAGGCCGTCCAGCAACCGGAACCCACTCAGCAAATTCCTCATCATGATCAGTATGAGGATATGATCATCGATGATCGGTTCGGGTCCGATCAGCTGCACCAATTCGCCGAGCATTTTACCAATGCCCAAGGCGCCACCTCGAACGTGGGCGAAAGTCATATCGACCACATCACTGGTCAGGTCGAACGGATCCCTATGTCGGATCCTGTTCATGAGGTGTTAGAGAAGGCAGGTTCTTCCGTGAGCCAGATCTGGTCAACATCTTCATGGTTTAATAATTTCTCACTTCCCCAACTGCCGGTCGAGCAATCCGAAGAATGCCTGGCCCTAACCGCACTAAAGGTATATTATCTTTCGTGCTTCGGTCTCTTGTTATTCATCTTTATCATTTACTAATTTCCGAACGGTATTCTGTAGATGGGGTGGTATACTCTGCAAATGCGGGAGGCCCGCCTGGCTAAGGAACGGGACTTGATCGTTGCCCAGACCACTGCTGAGCAAAACGCTGTCACTGCCTTCACAGCCTTGGAGACCGAACGGAAGGCCTTTGCCGAGGAGAAACAGAGGATGGATACCGAGCTTAGCACTCTCCGGGTTCAACTTGTTGCGTCCCAGGTTAAGGTCTTTGCTGCTGAGGCCGCTCAGATTAAGTTTGAGGAGACGCCTTCTTCTATCCCGGACGGCCCATTAGAGGTGAATGTAGATCTGTCTGCCGTTCGGGATGCATTCAAATCCTCCGATGAGTTCTCTGCCATCAAGGAGGATTATGCTCGGCAGCAAATCCCGTTCACTTTTGGGGCTTATCTGAAAAACTTCTCCAAGGCGTCGGAACGGCTTGCAGCTGGAGTGGAGCTCCTAGATAAGGATCCCGTGAGAAAAAAATGGAATGATTCCATTGTCTCGGATCTTTATCCCAAGATCGGTCAAGTCCTTCTTCGTCCTTTCGTGGAGCAGCTTCAGAATCAGCTCGGGAGAACAGTTCAGGCTTCTGATCTTCCCCAGGATGAAGTTGTACAAGCCCAATTTGAGAAATTTCAGCGAAATCTGCAGCGGGAAGCTGATCGGGCCGCAGGGAGAGAGCCTGAACCACCGTCTGATGATGATGATGATGAAGATGAAGATGAAGAAGACAAAACTTCCGACCAGTAGTCTAGAACTTTTCACTTTTCGCTGATTGTTGTAATTTTCTTTTTCTTTCGTGGTAGTTTGTATCTTTTCCGGCCGGTAGATCCGATGAACATAAATCTTTGCTCCGTGATTGTTCAATTATCTGTTTCTTCATATTAATTTCTGCTTTATGCCGTTCAGCATTCGATCTACTTTGTAGGACTTAGCCGTTTTCCATATTTCCTTTGTTCTCAACCCTTCATTATTCTGCTTGGTAATCTGACTTTTAACTGTTCTTGTTCAATCTTTGACTGGCTGTTCGGTATTCGATCAGTAGCACAGTACTTAGTTGTCTCTCATGGACTTAGGTGCTTTTTCTGTCCTTTTCTGGCCGTTCGTCATTCGGCAAAGTTAAAAGGACAACCGTTTTCATCCATTTTTTCATTCATTCACCGGTAATAAATCCTTGGCTGGCTGTTCGTCATTCGGCCAGGTTAAAAGGACTTAGCTGTTTTCATCCATTTTTTCATTCATACCAAGCCTAGGATTCATAATTAATCGTTCGAACTTATTGGAAGGTGGTTCATTCTCAATTCCGGATATCGCTTGAATTCTGACTCTGGAGTTTTCCCGGTCGGTCATCACTTTTATAGCCTCAATACATACATCCTTGTTCGACGTTCGCTTGCCTGTTTAAACAGTACTCGCAATCATGTTTCCTCATTGCCCGTTCGGGATACGTGTCTGACAATGAACCATAAATACGCCTTGATTATCATAACCACATGTTGCCACGTGTCGATCAAGAGTTAGGGTTTTGGGCGGCACTTTCCCTATAAGTAGAGAGGTGTTTGCCCTTCATTTTTCTTGCTGCTTCTTTAATTTTCTCTTGGTTCCCTCTGAGTTTTCTCTCTCTAGAAATCTCCAGGCTTATTTCTTTTATGTTCTTTTCCTCCGGTTCTTCAGACGAAGACGAAATGCCGCTCATCCATCGTTGCAGAGGGAAAGCATCTGCTGATAAAGCTGGGGGTTCATCTTCCCAAACACCTGCTTCCGTTAACCCCAAACAGCCCGAACAGCCCCTCCCTGATGATGGATGTCTATCGGGTGATGATGTCGCCATATACAATAAGGGGATGCCCGAACGACCACCCTGCATTCCTCTGCATTTTCATCGTATCCGGAAACAGAAACAAAGGCTCCCGGAAGATGCTGAACGGCAACTCCGTCAACTCTTGCCCCCTCCCAGGGAGTTCTACGTTGGGTTCATAAAGCACCCAATGAGACACCGACCGGGGCACGTGCTAGTTCACTTCGACTCTCTGGTGGCTGGACTTCGCTTCCCCCTCCATTCATTCATCGTAGAGTTCCTGAGGCGGGTCTCTGTGCTGCCGGCTCAGTTCATACCAAGTTCTTACCGGATCCTGAACGGCTTCATTCTCCGCTGTCACGAGCTAGGCATTGCTCCTAGTGTTGATCTGTTCCTGCACCACTACTGTTATCAGCCCTATTGGACCATAGGGTATCTCAAACTGGTAGCCCGATCGGATCGTCAGTTATTTACAGACAACCCTACACCGTCGGCCGATTGGGAGGAGAGATTTCTCTTCGTTCGTGTAGGTGCAACACTTCCATTCCCTGATCGGTGGAATGCTTATCCGGTCCGGGATTCGGCACCCAGACCTGATGAAATCTTGCTATCGCAATCGGAGTCCCTGCGTATGGGAGGCTCGCGGAATCTCCGCTCCTTTATCACCAATGCTAAACTAATGGCGGCTGGGATTGGTAAGCCTGATTTTGACTCATATCGTTCGCTCTTCATTTCATCGCTTGATCTAACCCTTGACTTTATTTTTCTTTTTTGCAGGTGTGATTTCTTCTACCACCGTTCGGCGTTCTACTCCCACTTCTACTACACCGGTTCCCACTGGGAAAGGGAAAGAGAAAATGACGATCGAGGGGTCAAATGATGCCGAACAGGCACGGAAGAAACGTCGGGTAGATGACGGTAGTCAACCAATCCCAATTGATCACGTGGTGGACCTGACCGGCCCGGAGGTTGAAACCAGACGACCTGTTCTTTCTTCCAAGCCCAAAACTCCAGTCCTTGCTGACATGCCGGTCGACGATCGGATGTTCGTTGAGTTTTCAAACATGGGGCCCAGAGCAGAAGGAAGGTACTTGTTCGGTCTCATGCCTTCATCCATGTGGTGCAGTACTTCTTTGAAGGTTCCCCCCAGTTTTACAACCCTGACCCACTGGTCTGACCTTCTTAACGCAGGTCATCAAGAAGCGCTCAAGGTATACCTCGTTTTGATTCATACTTTTATTCTAAATTTGTTCATCTCATTTGACTCCGTTTGCCATTTGTCCACAGGCCGGTGTTTATTATCACAAGGCCTTTCTGGCGGCCGAGCAGGAGATGAAACTCCTGGCCGGCGATCGAGAAGATAGCCAGGTCCTTCTTTCCACTGCTCGGCAGCTAGCTGCAGATTTGCAAGAGCGCGCCACGGAGGGTGAGAAAGCAAAGGCTGCTTTAGCCGCGACGGAGGAGAGGAACCGGCGTCGCGATCGGGAGATCAGAGAACTCAAAGCTAAGGTGCGGGCAGCTGAATCTGCTGGGGTGAAATTTGACAAACCCGAAGGGGACAATCCTCCTGAGCCCTATACTACCAACATCTCTCATATTGCCAACCAAGCCATAATCGACTATCAACGGGGTAAAGGACTGAACGTCGCCCTGGAGAACACAGCTCGGCAATTTCTGCGACCTAATCTCGGTCAGTTTTTGCGTGACAGTAAAGATCCGATCCAGGCAGGGATCGAGCTTCTGGACAACACTTCCGAAGGGAACTCTTTCTTAAACGTTCTGACCGAGAAGACTGTGATGCAAAGCCAGGATCTGCTTTTGGATAGGAATCTTGACCTGATGCTGAAGTATTTCCCCAAGTCGTTCGATCCTGATGACCTGGGGTTCGATGATCTGTTCGGGAATACCTATGATCGGGTTATGAAGATCAGAAAAGGAACAGTGCCCGACGGTGATGCAGCGCAGGCAGGGAGCTCTCAACCCTTGTCTTCCCCGAACGGCGATCCTTCAACAGCGTAGCCTTGTATATTTTGTTTTTCACCTTTTTATTGTTATTCTTTTGTACCTTCCGGTCAGTAGTACCGAAGAATAAACTGGATATTTTCCCTTTCAACTGTGTCACTCTTCTGTTTTTTTTATTTCTGTCTTTGCTCAAAATTCATACTAATTTCCGTGTTGCCGAATGTCAATCGGCTCATTTATCTCTATATTTCTGACATTGTTTCCAAGCCGCTTTGATCCCTCTGTTCGGCCATAAGGCCAGGATCAAATTATTTTTAGCCGAAATAATCTCTCTGAAAGTTCTGATTCTCCGGACGACAATTTGTTACTTATTTCCGAACGTCGCTCGGTTCGTCGATACCTATACTTGAGAGTTCCGATTCCCCGGTCATCAATCCGTTACTTATTTCCGAACGTCGCTCGGTTCATTGGTATTTACACCATCTCCAAGCCGTTTTGATCGAGTCAAATTCTGTTAGCTGAGACGATGACTCCCTCCAAACTGTTAACACGTTTGTCATTCGGTCATCCGGAATGATTACACGTGTTAAAAGCTGAGATGAGACTTCTTTCCCTTCCAAACCCGTAATTCTGATGCATTCCGAACAGTTCTCTCCGATTCGTATTGATGGTCCCGGATAGGGTAAAAGTCTAGAGGGGGGGGGGGTGAATAGACTTTTAAATCTTTTCGACCTTTACAAAGATTTCCCTCTAGAGGAGTTGATCTATAATCTTTTGAGAGATTAATAGATGCACAACGGAAGTCTTTACCCTTTATATAATGGGTGTTTTAACCACTTTCTGATCTGGGGAAGATTGGACTTAGATAGCTAGCAGTTGGCTTGGCAGTTGGCTTAGCAGTTGGCTAGGTAGTAGGGAACTGCTGAGGCAACTGCTAGACAAATACAAACTTTATGATGAAAATGATGATGGAATATTGTTTAGGATGATGAGAGCTTTCAGAAAAGGTGTTTTAGCAGGAATAAGGTGAAGTTTTACTGGAGCAGTGGTCTCGGCAGTTGGGTGGTACTGAGGGAACTGTTGAGCCACTTGCTTAGGTTATAAGCAGATTTTCAGAGATCCGTTTGAGTAAAACTTCTTGTTGATGATGTTAAGGGAGTCTGGTAATGTTGTGATGTTCAACAGGTATGTATGTATATGAGTAGTGGGGTCAGCAGTTGAGTGGTGATGAGGGAACTGCTGAGGTACCTGCTCAGATTTTGATCTGACTTTCAGGGATTGATTTTGAACACACTTTTTGACAATGATATTTATGACTGACTGGTGAAACTGAGATGGTCACAGGAAGTGACTTTTATATGAGCAGAGGGCTCAGCAGTTGGGTGGTCACCAGGGAACTGCTGAGGCACCTGCTATACTTAGAAAGTGAATTACTGGGAAATGGTAGAGCAGACCTTTTAGTGATGGTGAGGTGCGTCTCTGGTATGAAAATAGTCTTAAAGAAAGTAAGTGATTAAGCAGTAGGATAAGCAGTTGGGTCAGTTAAGACAACTGCTTAAGATTGTGCTGGCAAACTTCAATCTTTTTGTGAGAAGTGCTAAGTGTGTGCTTTGTTGAATGAATGTAAATCAACACACAGTATATCCCGGTTCAGAGGTGGTGTAATCCTCCTACGTCCAGTCCCACCCTCATTCAGATGGATTTCACTAAAGTATTAAGCTCAATACACTTAGTGTCAATCTAGTCTTTACAACACTTAGACCTAGATTGTAGGTTTTTCACAATGAGTATAGCACCACTCAAAGTTACTCAGTCCTTAGACTTTTCTCTGATGATCCAGTGGGGATCAAAAGGTACTCTATCTATCTAACCACACTATAGGATCCGAACAACTGTTCTCCTAAGTGTTTACAGCAATTTCTGAAATTTTATACGAAAGTTCTAACCTCCAACTAGGAACTAAACTTCTAAGATTTAACAATGAATAGTTTAAGAATTGGAAGTTTAGTGAAGCATGAGTCCAAGCAGAGAGTAAAGTTTAGAATATCACTTTCTCTTTTGCTAGATTGATCTTAAATGCTCTAAGGATATATCTCTACTTTGGATGCTCAAAGCTTGGTTAGAAACTTGCGTTTCAGCCTCTATTTATAGGCTTTTTGGCTAATCAATCTTATCCGTTGGTTAGGATAGATTGATCTCTGCCATTGAACTTCTGAAGAGTACGAGTAGTACTCTTGTCTTCTTGTGCTGGAGCTTTAATTGCGGCTGGTGTATTTGTCTATAAATAATTCAGCCGCGACATCTTCTTCCAGGTGTGTGTCCCATGCTGTAGTCCCCAGTACTTGATTCACTATTAAATACCGGTCAAGTTTTGTCTCCAATCATATACATTCATTGTACATTTACTTTCGAACTTGGCCTTGTTTTGTGACATTTAATTTTTGTGGTCTAATAAAATATACCGGTAGGATATAAATATCCTATTAAGGTAAATAAAATTACCTTATTGCATTTTTACTTTTTCCGGTAATATTTTATTAGTCATAAAAATTGTACATTAATTTTGTCACTTAATGCAAATTAAATTGAGACACAATGTACACGTGTTATGTATAGTGGCATCATCAAAATCTATGAAAATTGGGTACTAACACGTATCATCCATATTAGGGGTCTGAGGTGACCCTCTTCGAACTGTAAGCAAGGTCACCGGGTCGGGTTATTCCTTACCTATAGCTAAAAGGGCGACTCGCTTCCAAATCAAGTTAATGACTGAGACGAGATTTTTCAAAACCATAGTTCCGATTCCCCGGACGACAATCCGTACCTTATCCGAACGTCGCTCGGCTCGTCCATACTTATAGCCTTGACACCATCTCCAAGCCGTTTTGATCCCTTTATCTGGGCGTAATTACAAGGTCAAATTCTGTTAGCTAAGTTGATGGCTCAGCTCCCTCCAAACTGTTAACCCGTTCCTCATTCGGTTATCCGAAATGATTCTGCGTGTTAAAAGCTGAGGTGAAAATCCCTGACATCGAACTCCAAGCCATTTTGATCCCTCTACAATTCGTAATTACAGGGTCAAATTCTGTTAGCTGAGATGATGGCTCCCTCCAAACTGCTAATATGTTCCTCATTCGGTCATCCAGAATGATTTCCATGTTAACCGTTGAGATGAGACTCTCTGATCGTCAAACTCCAAGCCGTTTTGATCCCTCTTTTGATCGCAAGGTCAAATTCTATTAGCTGAGAATGACATTCCTTCCACGTTGTTAGCTCGTACGTCATTCGGTCCTCCTGAATGATCGTGCGTGTTAACCATGGGCTGAGATTTTCTGAGCATCGATTCTCCAAGTTGTTTTGATCCCTTTATCCATTCGTAAGTCTAGGGTCAAATTCTTTTAGCTGAGAATGATGGCCCTCTCCAAACTGTTAACCCGTTCGTCGTTCGGTCATCCGGAAATAACTTTACGAGTTAAAAGTTGAGGTCATTGCATTCCGGCGTCGCGATAGGGAGACCAGAGAACTCAAAGCTAAGGTGCGAGCAGCTGAATCTGCTGGGATGAAATTTGACAAACCCGAAGGGGACAATCCTCCAGAGCCCTATACTGCCAAAATCTCTCATATTGCCAACCAAGCCATAATCGACTATCAACGGGGTAAAGGACTGAACGTCGCCCTGGAGAACACAGCTCGGCAATTTCTGGGACCTCATCTCGGTCAGTTTTTGCGTGAGAGTAAAGATCCGATCCAGGCAGGGATCGAGCTTCTGGACAGCACTTCCGAATGGAACTCTTTCTTAAACGTTCTGACCGAGAAGACTGTGATGCAAAGCCAGGATCTGCTTTTGGATAGGAATCTTGACCTGATGCTGAAGTATTTCCCCAAGCCGTTCGATTCTGATGAACTGGGGTTCGATGATCTGTTCGGGAATACCTATGATCGGGTTATGAAGATCAGAAAAGGAACAGTGTCCGACGGTGATGCAGCGCAGGCAGGGAGCTCTCAACCCTTGTCTTCTCCGAACGGCGATCCTTCAACAGCGTAGCCTTGTATATTTTGTTTTTCACCTTTTTCTTGTTATTCTTTTGTACCTTCCGGTCAGTAGTACCGAAGAATAAACTGGATATTTTCCCTTTCAACTGTGTCACTCTTCTGTTTTTTTTATTTCTGTCTTTGCTCAAAATTCATACTAATTTCTGTGTTGCCGAATGTCAATCGGCTCATTTATCTCTATATTTCTGACATTGTTTCCAAGCCGCTTTGATCCCTCTGTTCGGCCATAAGGCCAAGGTCAAATTATTTTTAGTCGAAATAATCTCTCTGAAAGTTCTGATTCTTCGGACGACAATCTGTTACTTATTTCCGAACGTCGCTCGGTTCGTCGATACCTATAACTGTGAGTTCCGATTCCCCGGTCGACAATCCGTTACTTATTTCCGAACGTCGCTCGGTTCGTTGGTACTTACACCATCTCCAAGCCGTTTTGATCGAGTCAAATTCTGTTAGCTGAGACGATGACTCTCTCCAAACTGTTAACACGTTCGTCATTCGGTCATCCGGAATGATTCCACGTGTTAAAGGCTGAGATGAGACTTCTTTCCCTTCCAAACCCATAATTCTGATGCATTCCGAATAGTTCTCTCCAATTCATATCATCCATATTAGGGGTCTGAGGTGACCCTTTTCGAACTGTAAGCAAGGTCACCGGGTCGGGTTATTGTTTACCTATAGCTAAAAGGGCGACTCGCTTCCAAATCAAGTTAATGACTGAGGCGAGTTTTTTCAAAACCATAGTTCCGATTCCCCGGACGACAATCCGTACCTTATCCGAACGTCGCTCGGCTCATCCATACTTATAGCCTTGACACCATCTCCAAGCCGTTTTGATCCCTTTATCTGGGCGTAATTACAAGGTCAAATTCTGTTAGCTAAGTTGATGGCTCAGCTCCCTCCAAACTGTTAACCCGTTCCTCATTCGGTTATCCGGAATGATTTTGCATGTTAAAAGCTGAGGTGAGAATCCCTGACATCGAACTT